CCACCCACCACACACACAAGACCCTGAGAGGCTCAAGTGAATGGTTTCCTCCGGACCTTCTGGGAACATTCAGCAGGTAGATCCTGCCACCCTGTGTGTATAACCCGAGAAACCAACCTGCTTTTTCCTGTTTGTGCCCTCCTCCTGGCCCCACAGTTTCTCAGACGCCCCTGGACTCAGGTTGGGGGGCACCCCGCACAGAGCATTTCCCACCATCTCAATACAAACTGGAACAGCAGGTGTGTCCCGGAAGAGACACGGGTGAAGGTCAGTAGGTGGCACCTTCAGTGTTAGGAAGCTGACTATTCCTAGAGCTAAACCTCAAGGTTCCTTGTGTGTAAAATGGGGCCAATGGGAGGTGCAGGGAGCGGAGAACCCCAAGTGTCCGTGAGCATTGATTTGTGAGCTGGTGCTGCTGGGCAGGAGGCTTGGAGGGTAGGAAACGGGTGAGGGTGATTTGTTCAGAGCCAGCCAAGCCTACGTGAGTAGTGGATTGAGATAGGATCCATGCATTAGCACCCTCACTCAGGACCTCAGAGGGGGACATATATGCTCCTCACCCCCTGGTTTGAAGGACAGTAACGTGTGGGGTGGACTTACAGGAGTCGCCTCCAACTGCAGGTTCATCTCAGCCTCTGCTCCAGTCTAACTTCATTCACACGAGGGGCAAGGAGCCCTTCTAGGGGCGGCCCTCAAAGGACAGTGCGGCTGTACGTGCATGATCCTTCTCGTAAATTGAGGATCTCGGCCGTATTAAGGAAAAATGATCTTCAGAGCAACTGGCCCAGACTCCAGAATGAGGAGATTAGGGGATGTGGTTCCAGCTCTTTCTCTCTAGTACTACACACACTGAGCATCACTCAGAGAATTAAAGAATAATTTGCTTTATAATTTTTGGAAAAAATCCTTTTGAGAAAGACAGAGAAGGGCAAATGGCGTAATGCCCAAGCACTAAGATGCAACACGACACAGTCATTCCTTCCACGAGTATTTATTGAACACCTGCTACCCAGCAGACACTGTCTTAAGCGCTATATTCCTAGCAGCTACCTTTGTGAAGCTTGCTTTCTAGAGACAGGAGTCAGATAATAAATAAGTAGATAGATAGACAAATAAATAAGGTGTCAGATGTTGGTTAGTGCTGTGCAGAAGGAAGGGGGATAGGGAGGGTGGGAGGTGTGGGGGAGAGGGTGATATGCAATGTTAAATCAGGAAATTTCTCATAGGAAGGGGTGATGTTTTAGCAAAGAGTTGAAGGAAATGAGGTACATGAACCTAGATCTGTATTATCCAGAACTCTCACTTAAGCAGAGCATCTGCATTTCTTGAGTGCAATGCTAATTGATATTCCCAATTTGACTTTCACTGCTCTAAAACAATGGTTCCCAAACCTTCATGTGCTTAAAATATCACCCAGTGACTTTCAGCAGACGCAGGGTGGATGGGGGCTCTGAAAACTGCATTTTTTAAAAACAGGCACCTCTTATCAGATGATGCTGATAGCTGAGGTTTTCCTTGGACCACTCTTAAAGAAACATTGCTCTAAAATAAACGAAGGAGTCGTCTAGAATGACAACAACAACAGAATTAAAGATTAAATTATAGTCCGTGTGGTTTTAGTGTTGAGAGCATTTCACTGTGTTCTCACTCTTTGAAAATGCAATACCTAAGTAAAACCCTGGATTACCCAGAACATCCCATTTCTTGTCCAAGCAGGAGAAGGGAAAATTTATCATAAACTGGTTGGGAGCCAAACATAGTCTGTTTTCACACCACCACCCCCTTTTTTTGCCCTAATTTTTTTCTGTATATATTTTTTCTCCCCAAATTTCTGGACTCAGCCAGCAGGCGAATGGCTGGGGTAATGACCAAGAATGAAAAGATGCACAGGTGGGTCCTGGAACCACCACTGTTTCTGGTTGAGTCTAGGGAGATGCCTCTCAGCCTTCTGGGCTTCCATTTACTCTCAGAGCTGCTGCAAGACTTGAGTGAGAGCACGTGTATGAAAACATTTTAAATCTCTAAAGCACTATGGAGAGGGAGAGAGGCTCTGTGACTGTGGTTCACAGTTCCGGTTAATTTGGTCCAGTTCAAGTTCAGTTACCTTCAAGACAGTGTGGTTCTGGCATAAAGATATACATATAAATCAACAGAATAGAATTGAGAGTCTAAAAAATAAGCTAGTCTCTTTAACTAATGCTGCTGGGACAACTGGATATCCATATGCAAAAGAACCAAGCTGTACCTCTACCTCACACCATATATAGACACCAACTCAAAATGGGCCAAAGATCTAAATGTAAGAACTAAAACTATAAAAAGACAAATTGGACATCATTAAAATTAAAAACATTTGTGCTTCAAAGGACTCTATCAAGAAAGTAAATAAAAAACAAAAACACCCACAGAACAGAAGAAAAATTTTGCAAGGCATATATTTGATAAGTGACTTGTATCTAGAAGATATAAAGAAGTCCTACAAATCAATAATAAAAAAGATACATTATCCAGTTAAAAATGGGCCAAGGATCTGAAAAGACATTTTTCCAAAGAAGATATACAAGTGGCCAAAAAGCACACGAAAAAATGCTCAACATTATTAGCCATAAGGAAGTTCATATCAAAGCCACAGTAAGATACCACTCTACACCTACTAGGATGGCTACATTATAATAAAAAAGATAGATTATAGCAAGTGCTGGTAAGGATGTAGAACCTTTGTGCATTGTTGGTGGGATATAAAATGGTGCAGCACTATGGAAAATAGTCTGAAAAAGCAGGTCCTCGAAAGGTCAAACATAGAATTACTGTATAACCTAGCAATTCCGCTCCTAAGAATATAGTCCAGAGAAATGGAAACAGGTCCACATAAAATTTGCCCATGAAGGTTCACAGCAGCATTATCCATAACAGCCAGAAAGCAGAAACAACCCAAGTGTGCATCAGTTCTACACAACGGAATATTAATTGGCCATAAAAAGGAATGTATTACTGATACATGCTACAACACAGATGAATCTTGAAAACATTATACTATGTGAAAGAAGCCAGAAACAGAAAGTCATGGATTGTATGATTCCATTTACACGAGATGTTCATAGTAGGCAAATCCACAGGAACAGAAAGGAAACTGGTGGTTGCCTAGGGCTTTGGGATGGGAGAGCCGGGGGAGATGTGGGGAGAAATGGGTACAGGTTTCTATTTGGAGTGATTAAAATGTTCTAAAATTGATTATGGTGATGGTTGCCCAATTCTGTGACTATACTAAAAACTACTGAATTATACACTTTAAATGGGTAAATTGTATGGTATGTGAATTACATCTCAATCAAGTTGTTACCAAAAAACTCACTTACCTATTATAAGTCTTTCTCTGATCCCAGTGCCTATGCATCAAGATGAATTTTCTCCCATAGCATCTTGTTTTTAACTGTATCATCATCATCATCACCATCATCATCATCATCATCATCTAGAAATTGTTAAGTATTTTCCATGTACCAGACACTGCTAAGCACTTTTCTAAGACACTGTGCTAAACTAGGATTTTCCCAGCCACTTTTCAAGGTAGAAACGATTGTATTTTCATTTTGTTGACCAGGAAAACAAGTCTTAGGGACAGATAAATAATTTGTCTAAAGTCACATAGTAAATGGGAAAAGTAATAGCTATGATTTATCGAGCAATTACTATGTTCCAGGCACTGTACTAAGCATTGCTTCAGGAAACTCATTTCATTCTTACAACTCTGTGAGGTAGGTCCCTATTTTCCAGGTCTGGGAATAGAAACATTGAGTGATAAACTTGCTAATAAAGATCAGAACGGTAGCTACTGGGGGAGCTGAGATTTGAACTCAAGTCTGATGCCAGAATCTCCACCGTGAACCACTACATATTTAATGCGTAACAATCCATTGATTATTATAGATGGTTCTGGGCTGTCAGGCTGGAATGGGAGCTATTTGAGGGCAAGGTCCCCGTGCTAAGCCTCTGTGCCATCTTCTCCACCACCATCCCGATCCTCAGGACCATACCTTACAGTAGGTGCTCAATAGCCTTTTTAACCAAGTCACTTTAATCACTTCAATAATCCAATGTAGCAGGTTTTATTAATATACCTGTTTACAGATGGAGAAAATGAGGCTCAGACACCTGAAATGATATGCCCAAGGTCACACAGCTAGCTAGCCTGTGGAGCCAGTCTAAGAACCGGGCTCCACCTGATTCAGACATTATGCTACATTATCTCCACCCCCCCACACACTTTACCCCCCTGCCCTAGCAGGAGGGAATTAAATAAACTATTCTGCTTGCCCAGCTGAGAACACCCACAGTCTGGTCAGACCTGCTGACTCTCCCACTTTCTCACTGTCGCTTCCAATGACAGCCGGAGTCCGTTTGATGTGTCGGTGAAAGGGGGATGCTTTCGGAGTTTTATGGTTTCAGCAGCTGAAGTTGCCTCTCCGCTGTAATTAACTATCTGATTTAGCCCGGTCAGTTAATAACGCCACAATTCTGGGGCTGAAGACAAAGATGCTCAGTGCGTGCCTCCTTGATTTTTCATTTTTTTAAATGTTTATTTTGGGAAACTGAAACTGCAGACCTGGAGAACAGAAACCAACCGCAGGTCTGTCAGTGGTGACTGGGGGGGGAGGGGATGCCAGGCTGCTGGCAGGGGCTTCTAGTTACACATTTAGGCAGGGCATCAAGGCAAGGGGCTGGCTAGAGGAGGGTCCCATCCCCGAGCCTTGTCTGGGGAACAAAACACCCTCTTCCTAGAGACCAGGCTTTCAGGGATCCCAGGGAAATCATTTTTTGGAGTCAGTGATTGTAACAGAAAAAAACATTAGGGAGTCAGGAGCCTGGGGCTCCATCTGTGACCTTGAAGCATGCGTTTCCCCTCTCTGAGCCCTAGTTTATTCATCAGCAAAATGGAAGGCGGCCAGACTGTTTCAGAGATGGGAAATTGGTTTCAGTTTTTCTATTGATTAGTAGTGACTGGGACCCGGGCAGAGATAGAAAGCTGTGATTGATTAGCAATGTCTGCCATGGATACAGGTAATCACGAAATAGTGGAAGGAGCCACATAATATTTGCCTGCCTAGACCATCCCTGCATCTTTTCCAGTTTTGGCCTTCTGGAGATTTTAAAACAAGAAGGGCAAAGAGTGAGAGCTGTGCAGCCCTCCGCAGGGGCCAGGCAGCCAAGGGAGGAACCTCCAAAGTGATAGTTGTATTAATAGTGACAACACATGGTTTTGTCTGGAAGGATCAAACCATAAAGCATTAACATCAAACCGGTAGCATGGCAGGGGTGGGGTGTATGTTGTGTGTCCATACGGGTGTGGATTTGTTCTGTGAGGATGGATCCATCTTAACAATCCAAAAACATAGCAAAAATAATTTGAATGAGACTATTTAAAGACTTTTTCAAGAACAGTCATAGCGCCCAGCCGGGCGTGGCTCAGCGGCTGAGCATCGACCTAGGATCCAGGCGATCGGGGTTCGATTCCCGGTCAGGGCACAGGCCCGGGCTGCGGGCTCGATCCCCAGTGGGGGGTGCGCAGGAGGCAGCCGATCAATGACTCTCTCATCATTGATGCTTCTCTCTCTCTCCCTCTCCCTTCC